CACCAAGTTGTGTTCCATTTGTTCCACCAATGTTCCCTTTTTATTTGTCTAACTAAAGCATTCATTTAATTTCAAAATGGTTTATAGTGGTTGTATGCCTATTCTGTTTGTTGTGGTATATATTGTAAAGAGACTTTTTTGTTTCTTCACATTTTGTCTTCACTTCCTTTTTAAACCATATGGTCTTCTTATTTGATATGTTGGTGTTTGTTATTTTTCTCTCTCCAAGTGATTCTGTTGCTGCGTTAATTATGTTATTTTTGACTTTTTCCCAGCTTTAATCGATGTTATCATTTTCGAATATTTCATTCTCAGTAATCTCCGATATTCTTTTTCCATATAAGTATTTGGTGGATTCCGTATTTAGTCCTTCGAATCTGATTTTTGTTTGTGTTGGCGCCGCTCTTTTAGGTGTGAAGTATTTCAGGATGATTCTTATTTTACATAATATGGTCGCTACCTACATCTGCTTTGTTGAGCCATCTTACGTCGATTATTTTTGATGGAAGTATATCTCTGTTGGTTATAACGTAATCTATCATAGGTTTTGTCCACAGGTATTAATGAATATATACTTGTGGTGGTTAAAAAAGTGTTGTTTATTAAGTTCGTTATTCGTGCAGAAGTTTATCATCAGTTCTTTATTTTTGTTTTTAAACATTCTCCTTATGTTCTTCTTTTATATGAAGACGACTTATAGCATGAAATTTTTGTTTTGAGCTTTGACAACAAATGTGAGACATTTGAAATATGCCTTAAAAATGCTGAATTTAAACTTTCACATTACAAACGATCTAAAATGTTACTGCTTCTTTTCGATTAGGCAAGTACGTTTGCTAAAACTATACACCTTCATCTACAAATTCCATTCAATACCGTCTTCGTGGAGGCATTTCCTGTGACGTGCGATAGTTTGTAATGTAAAAATTTAAAATCTGCGTTTTTTAGACATATTTCAAATGCCTCATATTTGTTGCCACAACTCAAAATCTAAATTTCATGTTTTATGTTTTCAAGACTAGGCTAATTACAGAAATTTCACCACGACCGGTCAATGGAATTGATTAATTTTATTGATCTCAATAGAAACGTAAAAAATGGCAAAAATTGTGCGACGTTTATTTATTAAACAGATTTATAGAAGTTGACTTTATTTGCGGCAAAACACACATATTGCATACAAAATCTGCATTCTTGACATTTAAAATGCATTTTGATTTTTGTAGACAGGACACTCTGATCAAAAGATATCGGATTTTTAGCGTTGAGTTGATACAATTAATTTTCAACATCGCCGGTAGCTTTAACCGTTGTTTCTGAGAGAACGGTTTATTCTATGAAAAAAGTGCTTTTAAATATTTTTGTTTTAAATTATCTCAGCTACATTTTTTATTTGAAATATTTTTTCCACGGCGTGCAGATTCTTGGTAGATCCATTTTCCCCCCCTACAAGGTGGGTATTAGTGGAAGCCGGGAACTAGAATTGGTAAACTTTTTTGAATCTTTTTTGGGGTCCCAAACTTGACATTCTTAGCAAAATTCAGCTTGTTCATATGACTTTTAGAGGTCAAATCTCTGACAACTGGACTATACCATACATTTAGATAGTTGGATTTGAATACGAAGTTGAATCACGATTTTATCCCTTATGTCTTTTTGTGTACTGAAAATGTCATACGAGATAAGCAAAAAAGGAAATTTGGAGCTGAACCTGGTTGCGTTTTTTTTTTGAAAATCGAATTTTACTAATTTACCACATTTTTCCAAAGTAAAATTTTTCATCTTCACGACCTTTTTTTTGCAGGTTCCTTATCGTGCAAATCAACAAACTTTCAAGTGGCATGAGGGAAAAAATCAGTTATACTGAGCTATTAACATTACATGTTTAGGTCACCATTAATACCCTAAGGGACCAGTAGCACCTATGCCAAAATTTAAAAAAAAGAATCAATACTTCTCTATCGACTCGTAAAATGGCATAAGGGAGAAAATTATTTTTACAAATATTTTTTTTGCAAAAGATACTCTTGAAAACCCCACAATGTTTACATATTTTACTCTCTTTCATCTTATAGTACTCTTAAAATCATAGTGGTTATAATCGTGATTGAACTTCGTCGAAAATCCGATGGTCTAGTGACGCTAATGAAATATCGTTTAATATCTTATGTAAGTGTATAAAATATCCATCGATATTTAAAACTAACAATAAATAAATTGTTTTTCTAATACCACTATTATCCAAAACTAAGACTTATACCACCCTGTAGTTGATATGATTTTAAAGTGACGTATTGAACAAGCTTTTACTTAGAATTTTCATACAAAAAAATAGCGAATGACATTTCCGGCAATTAAACAACCACGATTTATTTTACTTCTGGAAAATTTTCAAACAAACAATGGGTGGAACAAAGTCATTGCAGAAATTTGCATATTTTTTATTTAAATTACTTGTTGATAATGTAAACACTATATCATCATTTCATTTTCAAAACAAAAAACAGTGTGATCGGAGGTTAATAATGTTACTATTAGTAGATATAATTTACTACAAAAGAGCAGAATATTCAAGCAAATCTTTGGTAGATTAACTAAAGATTTTTGAACCCATCTTTGTTCTGGAATTATAAATATATGACTTATCCACGTATCTTTTGAATAATTTTGGGTCTTAAATAAAAGTTCATTATTTTAGGATTCATTCTTCTCCGCCATACTCCTCATTTTAATACCCCCAAAAATCTTTCGCAGTACTTTTGGTTCCTTTACCTCTAATTTCGCTTCGCATTGTTTGGTCATAGTCAAAACTGTGCTTGAATTAGTGTTGCCCAAATGCAAGAACAAGACGAGGCTTAGACAGTCTTGGTTCTTGGTAGACGGTCTTGGTAGACGGTCTTGCGCCGATACACCTGGTCTTGGTCTTGGTATTGCACTCCCAGTCTTGGTCTTGCAGCAAGAGTCTTTCAAGTCTTGCAAGTCTTGCAGTTACCCATTTTCCTATTGCTATTTATTAAACGTTACCTTAAATCTTAGAACAACGTAACAGAGCAAGTACATTTTAAGCTTGAATTAACATAGCTATAATAAAGACCAAACAAATTAATAAATGTCTAAACAACTGACACCGGGTAGGGTTTGAAGCCACGATCTAAGCGATCCGTGCCTATGCTCTAATTAACTCAACTATCTACCATGCCCTACAGAAATGAATCTATTTCTTGATAAACGTTTACATTTACTAAGCCTACATGTGCCAAAACATGGTTAAAATACCAAAAAAAGCAAATTAATGACTGGACTGTATTTTAAAGAACATTATCTGCCTAGAAAGGGATTAATGGACCCCCTAATATATATTAAACGGAAATCTTAAAAAAGATTGGTATGTGGCAAAAAATCCACATACCAGTATCAAGGGCACATATTCTTTAGGTGATAAGAGATATTAGATGCTTTCTTAAACCTGACGTGTTTCTGTTTTTAATTTTCATTTCAACCTTTCTATGTAGGCACAATTTACACAAAGTAATTTTGAATGCATGAATTATTTCGAAAAACTTATCAAATTTGCTTTTAGGTCTTTTAGATCTATAATTCCAACGCTCACTACTCCGATTAGAACTATTTGAATCTTTGTCCCTCATGTCAAATTGTAAACTTGTCACTTCGGGATCAATAAGGATTAGATGAAAAATAATTATTATTACATTAGACTCAAAGGAAAGCTCAATTGGGAATAAAGTTTAGTGATGTCGAAAAAGTTACTACTACTAGTTACTTTATGTCCGTTACTATCCAATACCCTAAGTATCTAATAACAAACCGAGAATTATATATCGTTACTTCCTTATTCTAAATATTTCGGTATTTTGTTTACACGGTAGGCGAAATTATCTATTAATTTGTCTCGTTACTTTTTAATATTAGCCGCGCTCTTTCAGCAAATTTTGTTTAACTGAATGATCCCATCGCACACTCAGCAGAAACAATGTTTAGTCTATTTTTTTATTTAGATTTCTCCTAACTAAATTATAATGGTAAAAAATTGAAATGATTAGGTGGGTGTCCGTAACAATGTGTTATATTTTTTATTAGCTAAGACGATATATTTTTTAAAAATTTCGATAAGATATTACTGTCGACGTCGCAATTAAAGAAAATAATATTATGATTAGAGTGCAGCGATTCTCAAAATCTGGGCAATTCATTTCAGAGCGAAAAAGTCGTCTGCTGGAAAAGAATGTACAAAATATTTTATTTTTACATTGTAATTATGACCTCTGAGCACGTGTCAAATGTGTTTTTTAACGAATATTTTAATCCGGCATGTATGCTTATGGTATTGTTTGTAATGCGCATAAGTCCAGTTTTTCAAATTTTCATTACATATTTTTAGTCTTTAAGCATATACCCAAACTACTATACTCGCTAAACGAAACTTAGTACTAACTGCAAGACGCAAGAGTCTCGCAGACTTAGTCTTGTTCTTGCTTAAATCTTGCATGGTCAGTCTTGGTCTTGGTCTTGCTAAAATTAGGCGGTCTTGGTCTTGGTCTTGCGAAAACGCAAGAACTAGACCTAGACTACAAGACCAAGACCGATTTTGGGGAACACTAACTTGAATACAGAATTACACGTCTTATTGTTATTACTATTATTTATTTGTCATGAAATTAAATTTAAGAAATGCTAAAAATATTAAAATAGAGATACAATTTTTATGTAGATAATACTTTACTAGAGTAACTATAACAATTGCTACCTAAAGACCGTTTAGAGACGACGGCTCTGGACCAGTAATCCTCGTTGAGAACTTACGTTGCCATGAAGTAAATCTACTTAAAACTTTAACATTCTACATAATTATTAGCTACAATGTAATCGAATACCAATTAAATAAATTTAAATATAATAATAAATTCTTTTAAGTAAATATACCTTTTAGAAAGGATTTTTTAATAAAAATTTCTATATTATTAATATTATAAACGACCTACCTTTCTGACACCATCAGTGACTGCACAAGAGACTCCATTAACTGCATCAATTGTTCCCAGTTGGCAGTCTTTTTGTCTAAATTAAATTAATAAAAAATAAATAAAAACAACATAAAATATATTAGTTTTATCTAAATTTAAATACCTTTTTTAAATAAGCTTTCTAATATTATAATTTTTATTGATTTGGAAAAATTGTGATACAATATATTAAATATATTAAAAAAAAGCAGTTGGAATATTTGTGTATACACCAGTCGTCAGGGACGAAAATGCCACTCAAACTCTAAAAATCGTACGTACAAGCTGAATTTTGATGATAATGTCAATTTTGGGAGTCCAAAAAAGATTCAAAAAAGTGTACCACTTTTATCTCCTGGCTTCACCCTAAAATCCCCCTCCGTAGGGGAGGAAAACGGAAAAAATTTTGTTACAAAGAATTTGTACGCCGTAAAAAAATGTTCAAATAAAAATGTAGCTGAGATAATTTTGAACATAAATGTTCATTAGAACTTTTTCTGTAGAATAAACCGTTCTCTTATAAAAACGCTTGAAGCAACCGGTGATTTTCAATGACCAGTAAGCGCGTGAAATCAATTTTAAATAAAATTTATATCAACTCGACCGTAAAAATTCGATATCTTTTGATCACAGTGTCGTATCGAAAAAATCAAAATTCGTTTTAAAGACGAAGAGAGCTGCTCGTATGCAATTTTTGGATTTTACGGCAAATTAAGGCAGTTTCTTTAAAGATGGTAAATGCATAAACGTTTAGCGATTTTTAGTATTTTTTACGATTCTTATGAGATCAATAATATTTATCACTTCCATTGATGGGTCACTATGAAATTTTCATTATTAAATACCAATCTTCAAAACATATAGCCTGAATATTCGGTTTTGAGTTTTAGCAACACAAACTTTCATATACACACGATCTGAAACGTTTAAAACTGCTTCTTTTTGATTACACTAGTACGTGTTTCGAAACGAAACAACCTCAGGTACAAATTCCACCTAATACCCATTTCGTAAAAGCATGTCCCGTGACGTACGATCGTTTGTAATGTGAATGTTTAAATTCAGAGTTTTTTGGCAATCCACAAGGAATCTACGTTCCTGTAGTTGGCTGTATACCATATATTACAAAAATTTATTAAAAATTCTTTGTAAAAGGTATATATTAAGAACCCACACGGACTAAGTTAAAAAAAAAACAAAATGTTTTCGGAATCCATATTCCATCATCAGTGTGTAAGAGTACATGAATGTAGCCACTAAATATATGGGTAAAAAGCCGTTAACAAATAATTAATTACATTTAGTTTACAAAATTTGCTATAATGGTTTAATTTGTTAAAGTTACCGCTGGATTAGGTAACATGGCGACATACAACTCCACGTTGAAGTTGCTAGTCTTGAGACAGCGTGTCTACGAAGACTGCATGGGAGCAACTGCTCCCATACATTATGCAAAATGCAAATAAACCTTTTTATTCAAAATTATCTCAAGTAAACTTTTTATTTGAAACTTTTTGTTCTACGACGTACAGATTCTTAATAAATCGATTTTTTGTTTTTAACGAGGGGGTATTTCAGGGGGAATAATTTTAGTGCACTCCTGATGAAGCTAATTAACACTAGCTAATATCGAGTTTGTCGAGATAATACTATAATGACACTAGTTTTTATAATATATATATATATATATATATATATATATATATATAATATATATATATATATATATATATATATATATATATAGGCACCTTCCACAGAAAAGCGCATATAAAAAAATTGCATAAAAAAGACATTACTTGTCTTAAAAAAGTAAGGATACGTCCCGCAGCTTTTTAAAATTACATAAAACTAAGATAGAAACAAAAAAAGTTTCCAGAAAATTAAAGAAATAGACTGCATGATAAATTACTTCGAATATCTGTAATAAATTCATACAAAAGCCTTAAAAAACTGATCTATATTTATTTTACCTATTTATTATACTAGTATTGTTGTTAAAAGTAAACTAATTGTCTATGAAGTTCGTCTGCAGCTGGATAGCTTTTCTAAGTTGTCTCGTTCTAAAACGTGTTTAAAATAGCTTAATTCTTCAATACTGTAAGAGATTAATGGATTAAGAGTGATTTGAACATCCTATTTCCTGATGTATTGCTACAAAGTATGTAATAAGGTTACTCATGCTTTATGTCCACTTGCAGTTTTTTCGTCGCTTGCGATGTAAGTACGATTAGGCATTTTTTTTAATACAGTCCCGTTTCATCAGCGTTAAATACTGGATCTTCACAATAGTCCCCATTTTTCGATAAGTTCAATAATTTTCGATAGCTTCTGTGGAAATATTTTTGCTGCTGCTTTTTCTGCTGTGATCTTGATCTCTCTCTCCTGTGATCTTGATATTATGAAATGCATTTCTTTTTATAAACCCGATTAGCCATCGGTTTCATTAACTCATAAAACAAATGCGAATCCAAATTGCGATGGCTTTTTCTGTTGTTTCTAATAATACATCCCTTGAGTAAGATGAAAATTTGGCGCTTAATTTTGTACCAGAAATTATAGATTTTCTTATAGCAACTTCATTCTTCGTAATTGTTCGTATAATTGATTTGTCGAGATTAAAATTTCAAATTTCATTTCCACCGAAATTGATTGTCTTTGATGTTTTTTTTCTCCATTGGGCCAAATAAAATTAAAAAAAAAGAAATAAAATAAACTAGACTTATGATATTGAGATAACAGGGTAATCCCCGAATTTTAAAGACTCATTTTACTGACATCTGGATGTGAATAGTAAATATTTAATTAGAATTGTTAATAATAGAAATTGTTGGATGAAATACAAACCTCACAACTTTAAAATCGCGTAAAAATAATCCGCATGAAAAGAGACCTTACTGTACACGCTATAATATATATAATATTCTTCTATGTAACAGGAAGAAACATGCTAAAAAAATTCTATGATCAAATAAATAATATCCGCATATTTTATATTCTTTCCAGTTGCCGATATTCCGTTTTTTACTCACCTAATTTGTTTTTTACAACACATATCTACAGTATTTAAACAAGCCTTCTCATTCCTTAATCGAGGACCTGCCCACTCTGGTTTGAAGTTGCCGCAGTCATTTCCAGATTTAGCAAAATTTGTACCAAGATCACAACACTGCTTTCTGTCCTTTATGGTAATACCTAAAAAGAACCTTGATCATTTAGAGACTTTTTTAGAATATATTAACATTTTGTTTCAGAAAGAAAATAGGTTAACACAATAATGTTATGATTGTGAATAAATAGATAAGTTAATAAGAATGGTAAAGATAACTGAAGAGAGGAATCGGTTTTGAGTGAGAGTGGCATATGGAAAACTGAGAGAAACTTTTAAAAGTGAGCTGCTCACATGCCTGAAGAAAAAAGTATTTGATCAATGCGTCCTTCCAGTATTGACATACATAGCAGAAACACATACTTTAATAAAAGCGTCGACTACCAAACTAAGAGTCACAAAGAGAAGAATGGAGCGATTCATGTTAGGAATAACTCTGCGAGACAAAATAAAAAAAAGAGGTCAGGAGAAGAACCAAGGTGAATGACGTCATCGAAAGGATAGCCAGACTAAATTGAAGATCGGTGGGACACATAGCTACATTGACGGTCGGGCGATGGATAAAGAGGTTATTAGAATGGAGATCCAGGAAAGACAAAAGAAGTGTCGGTCACCTGCACGATGGGCTGACGATTTAAGAAGACAAAATAAAAACTAGATGGGAGTGGCGCAAGATAGATGGGGTTGGAAACACGAGGAAGAGGCCTATGTTTAGCAGTGGACTTTTAAAGCTTAATGATGAAGATATATCCAATTTATTTTTCAGATCGTAGTGTGGTAAGATCTACGATGCTAATGGACCCCTTTGACACACACATATATATATATATATATATATATATATATATATATATATATATATATATATATAAATCGTACATGGTGTTCCATAAGATGGTGGCAGACCAAACTTATGTTTTTTTAAATAGAACACCCTATATTTTATTTTAAATTTGAAATCTGCTTCACTTTCACATCACAACAATGTAAACTTTTAATATGTGATACCGGGTATTTAAAAAGTTATAACCAATATTACCTGAAAATCGTATTAAGTTTAACTCCCTGTATAATAATAGTATAAACTGATAACTTTAGGTATAGGGAGTACTTCATAAAATTTGAAGTACGATATTATTACTTTTCGATAGTGATATAAAATACAGGGTGTTCTATTTAAAATTGCCAAGAAAATAATGTACTTGCATTTTGACTTACCCTGTATTTGATTTAACGAATATTATGAAAATGAATATGTTTTATAATTTTTAACTATTATTAAAAAACTATGGTTGCAATAAATCAATGTTCCTTTACTCCTTTTTGATTATACAGGGAGTTAAACTTGATACGATTTTCAGGTAATATTAGTTATAACTTTTTAAATACCCGGTATAAGATAATGAAACTTTACATTGTTGTAATGTGGAAGTGAAGCAGATTTCAAATTTAAAATAAAATAGAGGGTGTTCAATTTAAAAAAAAAAACATAAGTTTGGTCTGCCACCATCGTATGGAACACCCTGTAAGATTCTAACTAATTTTGAAATGTGGAGTTTAAAGCTACCTACAATTTTCATCACTAACTTTTTTTTTGTAACTGAGCTTTGTACCTTTTGTAAAAATTTTGTAATATTTACTATAATAGATCTACTGAGCTAACTCCGCCTTCGGTAAGTACTGGGTGAATTGAGTAGCTCAGTAAATGCCGATGCCGGTCCCAAGCCCGGATAAAGGAGGAGGGTTGAGGCGATGGGCTAGCAACTCGTTCCTTGTCAAAAGAAATTAATGCTAAAAATTTCGACCAAAAGCCTCGGAATACGAAGGATGGATCAACACAAAGACGACTAATGCAACGAAAAAGGAAAATGATATTGGCTACATGGAATGTACAAGGACTGAGAACCAAGCAGAAGTATTCAAAGAATTAGCGGAAAGAAAAATAGATATATGTGTTCTCACAGAAACCAAGAAAAAGGGAAAAGGAAATGAAGAGATAGGAGAATATATACATATCTACGGCGGAGTGAGTAAAGATAACAGAGCTAAGAGGGGAGTCTCTATTGCCCCTCGAAAAAATCTTAAAAACAACATTAAATCGTGGACTGAAGTAAATGAACAACTACTAATACTGGAAATGAAAAAGAATGGGCACAATATCGTAATTGTCGGAGTATATGCCCCAAACGAAGATGCAAATCCAGAAAGTAAAGACTATTTCTACGACAATATGAATGAAATACTCTCTGAAGTTAAAGAAAACTGTGAAATCTTTATACTAGGAGATTTAAACGGCAGAGTAGGGAAAGAAGAAAATAGCAGAGTCGTAGGAAGATATGGAGAACAAATAACCAATGACAACGGAATGCGTCTTGGAGATTTTTGTGAAATAATGTCTCTCAAAATTATGAATGGATTTTTTCAACATAGAGACATCCACAAATTTACATGGATACAACCTACTAGGAATCTGCGCTCGATAATCGACTTTGTAATCCAACGTCAAACTTCCCAGCTGAAAACAACTGACGTAAGGGTATACCGTGGATCAGAATGTGGATCCGACTATCATTTACTTATGGCCAATGTGATAGTTAACTATCGCAAAAACAATAACACTCAGGTACAGAATATAGAAAAGGGACAAAAAGTAACATCTCCTAAATATAACCTAGAAAGCTTAAAAGAAGATTCAACAAAATTTCTTTACAAATTACGACTGGCCACAAAATTACAAAATGTGGATCGAGAAAATATAACGGCGGAAGAATTATACCAACAACTTAAAAAGTACATTCATGAGGCTGCAAGTGAAGCTTTGGGGTATAAAGACAAACATGAAACAAAAAAACAAGAATGGTGGTCGGAGAATATGCAAACGTTAGTAAACAAGAAGAAAACTGCTTATCAGAAATGGATGTCAACGAGAAAGGAGGAAGATCACAAGGTATATACGAAATTAAATCGAGATGTAAAAAGAGAAGTAGTGAAAAGTAAAAATGAGATGTGGGATCGAAGATGTGAAGAGGTGGATAGGTATATGGGTGGAACAAGAGTTGGGCAAGCGTGGAAGGTGATAAAGTCTCTCCGGAGGGAAGGAAAGGAAAAATCTAACTTAAAATTAATAGATCTGAAACAGTGGAAACAGCATTATGAGGTCTTATTGACAGAGGATAGACGTAAATTCCAAGATATCGAAATGGAAGAAATATCTGAACATCACAAATAATTGAGATAACAACCGGAGAGTTAAGCGATGCCCTCAAAAGATCGAAAAACGGTAAAGCAGCAGGACCTGGAGACATCCCAATTGAGTTGGTAAAGTATGGACCAAAAATATTACACGAGATGATGGTTAAACTATTTAATAAATGCTTAAAAGGAGAAAATATCCCGGATGATTGGAATGTTGGATACATCAGCTCAATATACAAAAAAGGGGACAAACGCAATTGCTCTAATTATAGAGGAATAACTGTTACTAGCTCAGTTTTGAGGTTTTACGGTCGAATAATAAAAAAACGAATTGAATCAGAATATGAAGACATAGAGGAACAAAATGGATTTCGGGCAGGAAGATCGTGCATTGATAATATATTCGTTCTGCAGCAGGTAATTGAAAAACGGAAGGCAAGGAATCTATCTACCCACCTATTGTTTGTAGATTTAGAGAAGGCATATGATACGGTACCTTTGAAAAAACTATTTTATACATTGACGAAAGTAGGTCTCAGTAGAGAGTATGTGGATGCTATCGCAAATATATACAAAAATGCAAGAAGTGTCGTTAAAGAAGGAAACTTTATATCTGAATCATTTCCAATAACCAAGGGGCTTAAACAAGGATGTTGTCTGTCTCCGACCCTGTTTAAAATATATATTCAATCATCGCTAGAGCAGTGGAGAAAACAAGTATCCGGAATGGGAATAGACATAGGCGGTGGTGAATATCTAACAGCTTTATTTTTCGCAGATGATCAGGTAGTCGTAGCGAATGACGAGGAAGACATGGACTACATGTTTAGAAAACTAAAAAAAGAATATGAAAAATGGGGCCTCAATATGAATATGGCAAAGACAGAGTATCTTAAAATAGGAGATGGTGAAGAAGATCCAGAGTTAGAAATTAGAAACACAAAAACATGCAATGAATATAAATATCTCGGATCTATAATATCTAAAGAAGGCACTACCAAAAGAGACATCGAAAACAGAACACAGCAGGGAAAAAAGTGGTAAAGATTCTAAACTCTCTACTTTGGTCTAAAGATATTAGACAAGAAACGAAATTGACAATCTATCGAACCTTGGTAGAGCCTATTATGACTTATGGGGCAGAGGCAGAGAGCGTGTGGTATATCCAAAAAAGATCACATTAGGAATGAAGATATTAGAAGGAGGACAAATACTGTATATTCCAGTGTAGATAGAATTGAAACGAGACAACTAGTGTGGTATGGTCACGTGAAACGAATGAATGAAGATAGATGGCCAAAGAAAGCTTTAAATTACATACCACAACAAAGAAGAAGAAGGGGAAGGCCTTCAGTTGCCTGGGAAGAAAATGTACGGCACATAATGAGAGATAGAGCCATCAGAGAAGACGAATGGATAGACAGAAAACGATGGCGGTCGAAATGCGAGAAACGGCAGAGGCTGTAGGAACCTCGCTTATATATATATATATATATAATATATATAATATATATATATATATATATAGATCTACTGAGCTTTCTCACACTAATCAATCACCCTGTATATATATATATATATATATATATATATATATATATATATATATATATATATATATATAATTAATCACCTATCTACGGGCAATCTACAGACCCTATTTTAGGGTTTCTAAATAGTCACTTATTCTTGTTTTTTTTTTCTAAATAACTGAGACAAGAATAGTGTGAATACATTTTTTAATAAAATTTTTTTGGTCTACTTAATGCCGTTTTTTAATCGATGGATTGCTTGTAAAGCTTTATGAACTGCTTTCTATAAGGAATAATCTATGACCTGTATTGGTGAAAAACTTCTAAGAACTGTTCTAAAAGCTCTTAGATATGCTGTT